CGAAACGAAAATCTTGTACACTTAGACAACCAATTTCAATATATGTAGAACATAACTTGAAAAGAAGAACATGAACATGAAATAATAAAGAAATCAGAAAAATCTCATGATCAATTAGAGGTATCTTTTAAGATTTGTAACTCCCAATTAATTATTAGGGGGTTACAAAAAGGTTAAATTACAAAATTACCCTTATCTTTAATTTATAAATTAGATTTAAACCTAAAGTCAAGAAAGAATGTGATTGGTTGATAATGGTTAGCATAGTTTGCACAATATGGTTGGTTTCTATTTGAACCAACCTCTATATATATATATAGAGCTTGGTTCAAATACTAACCAATTTTTTATGTTAACTATGTTAACTAAGCTCAACCAATCATATATTTTATCTTTTCATTTGGTTCAAATGTAACTCATATATTAAATACAACAGTATTTAAGTAATTCGTCATTTTATGTAAATCCCAAGTAATTAATTGGGAGTTACAAATTTGAAAATATCACAATTGATCAWGATGCAATATTGACATTGGGGCTTCACATGTGTTCATGTTCTATAATTCACATTTATTTTAATCGACAGTTCTCACCTTTAACATATGAACACATCATAAATCACACAGTCTTAGATGTCGTGATTCATAAGTGTTCATGTATATTCAAGTTACTAAATGTCCATATGAATACATATATACACACACAGAACATGTGAAGACATGTAAGCACGTATGAAAACACACAACCCTAGATGCCTTGGTTCATAGGTGTTCATGTACATAGAACAGAGTTGGCTCCTGAATATACAGAAGATGTTCATATTATTCACATGTTGTTCCTATGTCTAATCTTTTTTGTTTGATGTGGTTTGAGGATATACCAAGTTGTTCATATGTCTGACAATTTGTGTATAAAAAATAGATTACTTTTTACCTAAATACCATTTGATATTTTGTTCACATATGTTAATTGAAAATATTAATTTAATAATTAATTTTAAATATCATTAAATCACAACCGTTTATTATTCAAATTAACGGTCAAGATCGGTTAACAAAGTTAACACGATAATCTTGGTTAGCATTTGAACCAGCCCCTATATATATATATATATATATATATATATATATGTTTAGGTGAAGGATCATGTGAAAACGAGAGTTAATGTGAGAAACATAAGAAGAGATCTGGACCTTGATCACCTTTAATCTCAATCCCACTCATGAAGCCTTTGATACGGGGATTGATCAATAAATCTGGTGCATCTCGGTTTATCTCATCCTAATGTGCATCCAAAGGTTAAGATCTCTACTTATGTTTCTCACCTTAATTCCCGTTCTTGCCGGAATCCATCTCTCTTTCTATATATATATATATATATATATATATATATAGGGGA